GTGCCAGAGTAATGTATTACTTTTTACTACAAGTAATATGTATCTGATGCTATGTTTAAATTAACACGAGAGTGCTTGCTGCCTTTTTATCAATTCTGATAAAATATTGAACCTTTTATGCTGTGAGATGTAAAGGTTTGTGTTATCGCCAGCTCATCAAAGAGTAAAACAGCTTAATTATCATTAATGACCCTGCTATTTTGTTGGATTTTAATAATCTGACAAATTGTATTTTCCATTCACAACCATATTTAATAAATTTTCGAATGATGAAATGACACATTAATTTATACAGTACTGTCTGGATTATAGTTATGGCATTGCCTATATTTATATAAAATATTGTTTCAATAGTAAAAGATAAATATTATTATCATGATATAACTTTACAATTATTAGACTACCAAAATTATGTCAAAACTAGTAGTTTTCACGTTCAAATTCGATTATTATATTGGATTTATGTCACAGGCGTTAGTAATGTTTACGCGTGCCGCATTTTATCCGTAGCCAACGTGTTCATAAAAAAATCGTCTATATTCTCGCTTCCGTCACATGGCTTTAATATTAAAACTCTAACGAAACACCTCCGCGATAGTGACAGCCGAGTGTCACTCATTGCCGCGGCTTTTTAATAATCTTTCAGAGGTTTTAACTTTATTTTTATAAAAAAAGGCCAACGTGTCCGTCGGTCGGTCCTTCAGCTTTCTTTCAGCAACTAATTGGTCTGACACCGGGTAACCCTTGAACGTCGGGGGCATATATGTGATTTTTTTCGTTTGAGAGGTTTTTTTTAAAAGGCGCGACCCGTCGACACGTGTAGCCCTACCGCTGGACGATTTAATGCCGGCGCCGTGTTCCAGAACGGCCGGCCAGAATGATGAGGGCGGCCGAGTGTTCAACGTAACGCGTGTTTATGTAGAGATAATTTGTCGCTGCCATTACGGTGGATGTTTCATGTGCAATTTGAAATCAAAACTAACGGTGAGAGCAACCCTCAACTTGTGTGTGGGAGTAGGAACGAGATATAATGAATTACCTACATTGTTTTTAATTCCACATATCCGGTGACTTTAAAAGTTATGCATCATATATTAAAATTCAGTACTGTACATATTCGTTTTTCCTTACTTGTTTCATATCTGTTTTTTTTATTTAAACGCGTCTAATGGAAAATAATTTTAAAGAGCGTCTCATGTGCTCAGAAAGACTCATTTTGTCATTATTTCATATACCTTTTTGTACGGTAGTTATTAATGTAATAATTCTAACGGTTTAGTAAGTTAATCGCTCTAATGAACGATACGATATCCTATTGCATCACATCAAAACAAAGAGAAAATGCCCACCCCGGTAATTTATTTGTGTTTAATTTTTAAAAATGGAACGCGGAAGCGGACCAATGAGACGCGTACCCCGGCTGATTGTCAATTAGCGACATCAAACGGGCTTTTTGCGAATTAAGCGGCGTTTGTGTTCATTTTTTGTCCGGCCCGCGTCGAGTGCGGACGTTTGATGCGTTTTTCCGTTTCGACGTTTCATTTTCATATTTCCGTTTGTCTGGTCGTCTGGGGGGTGTGCGGTGGGTGGTTACAATGTGGGGGTGTTTTACGTAGTTATCAACACCGCTCTCCATTTCGCGTTCTGATATTTAATTCGAATGAGTGCTCTTCCAGACAGTATTAAAATGATCCGTATGGCTTTGAATATTGCCTGTTTTCGTTTTATATTTTACACATACTTATAACTCATTGAAGTATTTCGTTAGCATGGTTACATATGACTGTTTTTTAAGGTATATTTGGTTGTAGTCTCGATATTGATCTTTGTATATACGTTAAGTTTACAATTCGATATAGGATTAAATAGCAAATGTTAAACAATAAATATGTTTATATTATAATGATTTTCTGCGTGTACAGGAACACTGTTACTGTATAGAAGTATTATTTAACGTAAATTAAGGGTTATTTCCCGTGTAATTCTTAATTGTTGACGTTTTGAACACTGATATGTTTTACGCTCTGTCATTACGCATCCCGGGCTATCGTAAAAAGTAAACACGAAAAAATCCGTAATTTTTTTTCTTTAATAAAAACATTGCCCTTAGTTTAGGACAATATTATGCTGTGTTGTAAGGACGTTTTACAAACATAAATTTCACGCAGACAAACACCCAGATGCAACAACTATCTGTGGGTCACACAAATAGTTGTCCCGTGTGGGAATCGAACCCACAACCCCCGACGCGGAAGCCAATACCTTGGCAACTACGCCACGGAGTCATCAACAAATTAGTTTTATTTAACATGGTATAAGTATTTAAACAATTATACAAACAACATCAATATTACAGCTGTTTGTATACGTTGTTACGTATCTATAACTGCAAAGGCAATCGTGGGGTGGTGATAATGCCTGACAAAAAAAAGTATAAAATCGTAGCAGCCGGTATCGAATGCACCTATTCCAAATGGATCCGGAAGTCAACAAAGGGACGTTCTGTATTTGAAAAAAGCGCGCGAATGCGAACGTGAGTCCGCCATTAGCCGCTCCCATTTGCAGTGCATCTATAGCGGCAGGCCTCTTCAATCTGTACCGCCAACAATTGCAGGGATGTCGCGAAAGTTAAATATTGCAACGACGCTAGTCCGGATACGAATAGCCCGGATTTCTACTTGCAATAGAGTACATTGTAGATGGATGGTATTTATGAACCCATGTTTGAATGAATATTTGTAAAGATATTGTTTGTAGTGAAACGATAACATGTACAAAAATTCTTATTTTCCTCTAAACGTGGATGGTTTGTTTTTATTCATCTGGTAACGGTTATGGAAAAGGTAATATTGGTGACAGTAAAAATAAAAATGTTATTTATTGTAACGAGTACCATTTTCATATCTTTTTTTAGTGTAGGTTGAATTTTCTTTACTTAGTTTCAATTTATAAAAACATTTTTCGGTACAATTGTTTCGGATTATACCGTCCTGTGAAGATGACATAAAGTTTATCTGATTGCCACGTTAGTATTATTTCGAAATAATACAATTTTGTCAAATGTATTGATTGCAAATGTTTCATATGTTAAGATAAAGAACATATTTAAAATCACCTGAACATAATTATATGTCAATATGTATGTTTTTCTATTTCTTCTATTGGTGTTATCAAATACAGATTTAAATAATAAAATTAATAGTACAATTTGGTACAGTAGATTACTCATATTGAAACAAACCTGATAGAAAAAAAAAACTTTTTCTATGATTATAATCTTAATTACCTACTATTTTTGAACACGGTCAAATAGTGATGAAAAACAATGCGAGCGAGTTGGCAGCCCTGAAATGGAGGGCATGTGATCGAGTGTTGTTCGAGTTTTTATCGCTGATTCATTAGTATGAGAGTGTCTTTGTTGCAGACTGCAGGCGCCCTAGCGTAGCAGCCTACACTGCGCGCCGTATTCAACGTGAAAATTGATTTGAGATGAAAGGCTTCCAACCCATTGTGCCGCGCCAGCCAAATTAAAGACAAATTGCACGTCCAATGCAAACGGCATCACCCATCCGACAGTATCCATAAGTATGGGCGTCTGTGTCCAAATTATTTCGCCATATCTCATTAAAGCCTGTGCGATTGTAATAAGTTCCGGTTCGGTGGAGACATTAATTAATTTGATTTTTTAGCAAATACTACTGACTGTTGTTCGATTGACAACAGTTGACTATATAGTGTAGGGCTTAATACATATGAAAGTACAGTATGTCTTTTCACGAGCTGAGTTGGATATTTTGATGACGATGGTTTAGTTTTTTCACTGAGAAATTGCTTCTTAACAGCATATCAGTTATTTTGTGTAGAGTTTAACTTTATTTATATGTTAGCATTAAGTTCCCATTTTGATTTCCTGGTCCAAATAGAATCTGTTGATAAAACAATATAAAGGGTCACTATAAATAATGCTAGTGGTATTTAAGTAACAATTATTTAAAACTGGTAAGTAAGGATATTCAAAAAATGATGTCGTGGAATTCATAGTCCGTTTATTACTTACCTAAAAGTCAGTGTTGCATCAAAAATATTTTAGTTGTTGAAAGGTTTGACTTTTATTGTGTATTATTTGAGATTCTAAACTCAGGTAAAAGATAAAGATGTGTTGGTTAGTCTGTGTTTAACTATTTTATAGTTGGTGTACTTTTGGATCTGATTTAGTGTATAAAACCAAAACGATAACATGAAATCATATGACTGATATGATATGATGAATCACATGGGATATTGTTACATTTGTTACTCTCATGTTAATTATCCTATATCATTTCTTTTCTATCGGTATAAATATTTGCACACACGTTAATATATGAGGTTTTCAAAACGAAAAGAATACGGAAAGGTTGAATGAACAAAGGGAAGAATCGAATTTGAAGACAGAATGTAAACAAGCTCTATAAACTCCTTCGAGAGTAAAGTGGACTTTTTGAGTGGTACCGGCGCGAAACAAACCTAATTTACGAAAGGGTAAATAAAATTCTTCTCGATGGAAATTAGAATTCTGAAGAAGTCACTCCTTTATTCCGAAGGAGCTTGTTGTGTCACAATTCGGTCTGCAATTTTGTTTCTGCTCGCTATTTCGATGACGACAGGGGGCACGAAAAGTATTTTCCGATTTGGATCTTTGTTTTTGTCATATCTGAAAAACGGCGCAAAATTGACTATTTTATTTCCTTTAAAATTGAAAAGTAATGCTGAATGTCGTAATTTTAGAAATCAATTAATCACGTTTATCTAGTAAAAAATCACGGAATGTAAAGTTTGTACTGTATTGTATAATTTTATTTGATCTTATTTTGATTTGCATGATTAAATTGTATTTAATCCTACTGCAAATATGGGCCTTTGTCTGTAATAAGTAATTTTTATTATTTCCGTATTCGAAATTTGAAAGAAAACAGCATTAATTTTTAATCCGTAACTGCAGGAAAGAACTGGTGACTTACCTTTGCGTGTTCCTGTTGCGTCAGCAGTTGCTCTCTAACCATCTGCAGTTGCAGGATCATTTCTGACAGTTGGCGCTCTTTCTCTAGTACGCTTTCACCTGCTAGGGCTTGCAAGGCTGCCGCGTCCAGAACTCCCCGTCGTTCACTAAGAAGAGACCGAGCAAATTAATAAGATATCGAGGTCGTCCTATATAAATCTAAAAAGGTTATATTAAGTAAGAGACAGGGGAAATTAATAAGAGATCAAGGTCGTCAATCCAAAAACAGGTTATATTAAGTAGTCAAAAATACAATGAATGTTAGACGAGAAGTTTTAATATACAATGAGTCCTAATACATATTAAGTTTGGATTTAACGTCGTATATGTCAAGCTTCATAAAGGGGGTAAATTACAGGCTTAGATACGTCAAGTGTGAGAAATCATTGAGTGGGTGTCTCTTTGTTGTGTGATGCGACACGTGTCGAACGCTAATTGGGATTTAGTGGATAGCGTTGAATAGAAGCAATAGGAAAGCAATAGTTAGCCGCGTTATTGGTTTCAAGTGCGTCGACGGATGGGTCTCGTCATATTCATTGATCGTGTTTCGATGTGCTCGAACTGGCGCCGAATAATTCCTGAATTTTCGTTCAGGGTACGCGTTGAAATATTTTAAACGAAAAATATTCCCAAATTTCAATAGAGAAGACGGTTGGATGCCTCCATCGGCTTGGGATATTATTATTAATAAAATTAATTCTAAATATATTATTTTAATTTATAATATTAAAAATTAAATCAAACGAACTACTACTGCAAGACAAGATAAAATTAGCATATTCTGCGTAGATCAACGCAAAAATTAATAATTAAAAAATTGGCGGTAGCCCGGATTAACAATGACATTCAGACGTCCAACGCCTCAGTCCGTCCCGTGACCATAAACGATGTGAAAATCCGTAAACATAGTTTCATTTAGTAAAGTGTAATCGCGTAAATACAAGAAATTATTATTTTAAACGATGGCTACGGGTTGGGTAAGTGTTACGAAAGATGATTCGCATATTAGTGCCGGCATCCTACTTGGGTGCGGTCAAAACTGGGGCCAGGTTAGCCCCTTTTGGTTTCAAAGTTTTGAAATTTTTGTTTTAATAATAAAAGAAAAAAATACTGCCTTGAAAAATCAAGGTACAGCTGTAAGACTATGGAAAACAACTCAACCGATAACCGTTGGGGAAGAAAGGTTCTCGAGTGGCAGCCTCGTACTGGCCATCGCAGTGTAGGACGACCCCCCACTAGATGGAGTGACGACCTGTGCAAATGTGCGGGAAGTCGATGGATGCAGGTGGCTCAGGATCGTACTTCGTGGCAGTCTGTGGGGGAGGCCTATGTTCAGCAGTGGACTCAAACAGGCTGAAATGATGATGATGATGATGAATTATATCTAAGATTATCTTTTGTCATAAAAGTTGTTTCTTTCTTTTTTTAAGGAGACTTGCTGGAGAAGTTTTGATGGAGAGCTTTAGAGTGCCTTTAGCATTTGTTTTATGGATTCAATTATTGTTGCCTTACTTCATTCTATAATTTCTAGTCGATATTGGTAATGTTCTAGTTAATATCTGTTAACTGCCTGCTCGTTTGACATATAAGTAAATCCTTTCACCCGTGAACGTAATATTAATTAGGTTGTAGTTGCGTTGTCTTATTTAAAAACACAAGACGGATGCAATAATGCTGATCTTTTGAGGCCGTGCTACTTCCCCGAATGAGCCAGTCCATTCTTGAAATTCTGTGGTAAGGCCACGCTGTTGAACGAAAAAACTGAAAAACCGAAAAGGTCTGTCCGGGTAAGTAGCACGACCTCACAGAAGACCGTTGTGTAGTCGAAGCGTTATATAATAAGTATGAACGTCAGATGAACCACCAGCTCGCTTGCCACCTTCCCACTTAAAAAAAAAACCGCAGAAGCAGTTGTTGACTCTAACACAGTCAAATAGAGCTTCCTCAGTTTGTTATACGGCACATAGGTAAAAAATTCAAAATTCTAGTAATTAAAGATAAACGCGTGATGAAAGAACGCCGAGATTTCCACGGGAAATCGGCGTCTGCGGGAGCTGGTAAATAGTCGGCAGTGTATAAGATGTATTAAATCTACAAAGGGTTATTGCAACGCGGCACCCCGCCGTCGGGCGATGGACCCTTATGCACTCCTTACGTCAACTTAACTTTAAATCGAACAATCAAACGGAATCAAATGAAAAAATTTTAAGTAATTTTTTTTCATTTGATTACGTTGTTTACATGTTCCAATACTGGACAAAGGCCTACTCTGTGCAGAGGGTATTAGAGCATGACCACCACACCACTTCACATATCTTCGAAAAAACATTTTTGTGGTTCTTTCGAAGCATGAAGGTTTCGCTCGCGATGTTTTCCATCATCGCTGAACACGTGATAAGTCAGCAGTTAAAATCGACAATTTTATTGGTGCTGGCAGCGGGGATTGCACTCAAATAATTTTAACTCGAATTAAAAGTAAGCGATCGGAAAATGATCTATCACGGTAAAGAAAGTGTCTTAAAAAACAAGATAAAATTATTTCGAGAGACGGAATGCGAAAAAAATTTTTATCGTCGCTGTTCACGTTCCATTGACCAATGGGATTTAAATAGTTTGCATGGACGTTGTATTGATACTGAAGCAAGTGTGTCCTAATAACATATATTAGATATAATTTTTCTATTGTAAACGTAGCCCTTTCCACTTGAAGAACTACGTATGATGTAACCGCCTAAAGCTATCTAGCTAGCTTCGTATAAGGAATTACTTAGGTAAGACGTAAAGCTGAACGCTGTGAGCTATTCCCGTAGCTCGGTATCTGCAGTGTACCACAAACAAATGCATAGGAAGCGGAACTGAATTATTAATGCGACGTCCGGACTTGTGAGTTGGTCGTCCGCTTGTAAGACGCCGTCATATGTTATACGAGTATCTTACTCTCCCGTTCGGTGTACAGGGCGTCTTATCATTTCCAAGATATCACTCAAAGTGTAGGTTTATATTATCTAGCGTTCACATCCTTATTTCAACTCATGTTAAAATTATGCCTTTCTTTCATATCGATGACAATATATCTTTTCCTTTTATATTTATATGCGTTTTGTGTTCTTAAAATTGTATTAATTATCTTCTAATATACGCAAAAGGATATTAATCCTTTTGCGTATATTAGACAATAATATAAACATATTGATATATGAACATATTATAAATATAAGATAGATAATACACATTGTGTAATATATTCCATATTGACTTTCAACTACTTTAATTCAAACAGTGTTGTAATCATCGTTGAAGTGTCTTTTCTGTGTTTCGACTTATACATTTTACGACATCATCGACTTACATCTTGAAGTTTTTGATTTTTTATGCGTAAAAATCGCTGCAATATTTAAGTCTTTATTGTCTCTGATACGACTAAATTATAGCTGTTTATACGAACAAAGCATATAAGTTACGAGTAAGCCCAGTACCATTGAAAGGCGTAAGTCCTTATTTGTTCATGGTTATTCTTTATTTGTTATATATTTTAAATTTTATCATAATGACGATTGTCAGTCAACATTGCAAAGAATTTTATCCGAAATTCAGCCCAATGTTAACTTTACCAATGATTTTGTTAACTCTTTCTATTTCTCTTCTAGACATAAAATAACAACTTTAAACATTCTTAACTGAACCGTATGGCGTAGTTGCTAAGCTAATATTTTTAGTGCTGGGGCCGTGGGTATGATTCCCACTTGACACAAGTATTTGTGTCCCTCAGATAATCGTTTCGGATCTGCTTGCTCGACCATGTGAAATTCATGTGTGTAAGACATGCTTACCTCAGGATTATGTTTCTACAGCAAGGGAACTGCTGAAGAAGAATGAACATAAAAAACATTTGTTTCGATTCCACTATATTTAAATTTTGGTTTTTTGTAGATAAAGACTTCTTGCGACGAGGGATTCGTACCTGGGTCTTCCGGTTTCACGCCTAAAAGGCTTACTAACTAAGCTAAGCCGTAGTTTATTTCATTTATCGATGTCTATCCGCATGCGCACCGATTATATAATTTCATCGATAAGTATCTCCATGATCGAAACTGCGAAATCGGAATAAAACCGCGTCCACTTTCTCATTTATTCCACTTAAAACCATGACAAAGGCAACAATCATTTCTCTGCTTTCACTCGCCACAGTAAAGGGCGCACGTGGACCAGTTCTGAGGAAAAAATAATGAGAGCTAATTAAGTGGTATTTTTTGTCACACCTCTGCTTTATGCCTCCGCATCGCTTTTTCGGACTGTTACTCGATTGCGAGCAGATCGCGGAATAATTAATGGCTTTATAAAACCCGTATAAATACATTTTAAGCAAAGACAGATGTTCCTTGCATGTTTTTCGTAGAATTAGAATGTGAACTGGTTGTGTGCGTTGCTTTTAGCGTAATAAATGCATATTTATTCAACAAACGAGGAAGGAACTACTAAAAAATATATCACAACATTCATAGAAACAGTTACCGAAATCAATTGTAAATAAAAGTTGTTATTAATACGACTCATAAGGTCCCTTCATGCTTAATCTAGTTTCAACGACTGCATATCTCAAACTCATCAAAGCAAACTCTTTTTGTCTTATGATATTATAACTCGACCTCTGTACTGGGCACTGCAATTTATTTTGTACTTTAGTGTAACGAACAAAACCAATTTGAAAGGCAAAAAAACGGCAAACACATTTTATAGATGAAAAAAGTTATACAGTTTTTTTTGCTTATTAATGTTGTTATCGAAGATCTTACAATGACGCCAGGTGATAACTTGGAAGTTACAAATGTTCTCCTAATTGGAAATCGAACCCTTGATAATTTGTTACGTTTTCGTGTAAAGTATAAAATGAACATCATTATCGTATTACTATTAGTATTAAGTGAGTCAATTCGAAGCCGATTGCTGATATGTAGGGCTGTCTCCTTGGCTAACACAGGTCGCTTGAAGGGAGAGTTAGTACTTTATTTTCCTGCTCACTGGTACGCCATTTAGATTTGCCATCTTCAACAAATGCTCTCACCTGTCAAACTAATTCGCCGTCACAATCCCTAACATAAAATTTTCG